GCAATACATCGGATTGAGCCTTGTTAAACACCTCCTGAAGTTCTCGGTATTGTATGGGAACTCCAGGAGTTTGGGGAGTGGTAGTGGGAAGGTCAATAGTATCCAATCTCTTTAGTACTGGTTTTATACATCTCCCCATACACTCTTTACCCCATTCTAATATCTCCCCATTAGCCCAGTCAATATAGGGATTGTGCTTACTCAGCCACGGAAACCCTAATATGATAGGACATGATGGAGAAGTAATAACCTGAAACGTCATCTCCTCCCTATGGGAGGCCCCAATGGAGATCGTAATAGGGACAGTTTCGTGGGTTATAAGCGGTTGTGTGAGTGGTCTACCATCAATAGCCTCTACAGCTAGCGGCGTAGGTCTCTCCCTGACCGGTATCTCATTACCCCTAATAAACTGGACATCAATAAAATTTCCAGCAGCACCTGAGTCCATTAGGGCACTGCAAGAAAACTTCTTGTTATCAAGGGAAATAGATACCTCAAGGAGGAATCTACTTTTGTTTTTGTTAGAGGACAACTCCATCACACCTAAGATCTGTCCCCTTAAGGTTCTTAGGTGCGGAAGTTTTCCGGACGCACTGGACAATTAGTTATCATATGTCCCTTTCTACCGCAATATAGGCATAACCCCTCCCTTCTCCTATACTGTTTTTCGGCCTCTGACAGTCTAGTGACCCCCAACTGCATAGGTTCGGGTTCGGACTGTACAGGGAGGTTAGACAAAACAGGTTTAGAGAATCGAGGTGCTAGGGACATAGCCGTACGTCTGGTCTTGCTTCTGGTGACTTCTCTGAGTCTTAACCTATTATCAATATGCATGACAAACGTAATAAATTCGTTAAGACTCTTAGGTAATTCTTTAGCGGCTATCTCATCTAGTATAGTCTCTGAGAGACCCTTTTTGAATGCTGAGATTAACCCATTGTTAGTCCAGTCTACCTCGGAAGCTAAGGTACGGAATTCAATAGCATAATCCGAGATAGACCGGTTACCTTGTCTGATGTGCATTAGGGCAGTGGAGGCGTCATCCTCTCTACCCAATGGCTCAAACGTGAGCTTGAATTCGGCAAGGAATTCCTGGTAATTATGAGCTATGCTCCGATTACTCTCCCACAACGGATTAGCCCAGGCAAGGGCCTTGCCCTTTAATTGATTCATTAGATAACCAATTCTTGCTCTGTCCGTGGGGAATGACCCTGGTGAGGCCTCAAAATGGTACTCCACCTGATTAAGAAAACCCTGCATTCCTGGATATTGCCATCAAACTGTAGGGATGGTGATAAGGAGATGCAAGGAGTCCTATTAACAGTGGGTGGAGGTACACAGGGTAGAGGTGCTATAGGAGGAGACGCTGCAGGCTGCAGATGCTCCGTTCTAGCGAGAAGCGTACTTAAAGCCTGAGTGAATTGATCTATGCGGTGATCATTCTCCTCTAATTTCCTCTCGCAAGCAGCTATGTGCTGACACAGTTCTACAGGATCTATGGCCATGTCGTAATGTCAGGATTACTGTTTGATCCAGCAGGTAGAACTGTACAGCACGGATGACAAATAAGTAACGTATTACCGGTCCTTAGAATGGCCGGATTTAACATACATAGAATAGTCAAAAATACTAGCCGAGGTCAGGGAACACAGAAAGGGATGCAGCGATGAGGAAAGCCAGGAGTCAGGATACCAGAATATAGAGAAGTCAATAAACAGCCAAAGTCAAAAACCAGGTGGAAAACTAATAACAGGAAAAACTATAAACAAGAACGCGCTCTCAGACAACCACAAGGGAAACCACGACAGGGCACTGAGCAGGCTGAGAACTGGGCCTAAATACCCTCCTTTAGTTCTGATAGGCTGTAACCGGCCTTTGACCCCAAAGTCAGTTACCAGGTTTCATTTGCATAATTGCTGCTCAGTATTAACCCTTCTGTGGATTATGTTGCTGCTCGGCACAACTTTTCCTGTGTGGACAGTAAATGTCATTAATCACTTTTCTCTAAGCGGATGAATACATGACACCAGGTTTCATTTGAACAATTACTGCTCAGCATTAACCCTTCTGTGGATTAGGTTGCTGCTCGGCACAACTTTTCCTGTGTGGACAGTAAATGTCATTAACCACATTTCTATAAGCGGATGAATATGTGACAGGTACTCTGTCTGGCTCTTAGGTAGCGTTTGTGTCCCTTTGTCTCTAGCACCTTCCCTCCAAAAAGCGCTCTCCAAGAAGGTTGGAGGAGATTTTAAACTTGTGATAGGGGGGAGGGTCAAAGCAATCTAGAAAATGGAGATAGGATGGAAAGGAGATGGGCTTTAGCTCAGAACAAAGGGTGTGGAGATGGGGGGAGGTGAAAGCTCAGAATAAAGGAGGTATGTAATATTGATAATTCACAAAACGTACAAAAGACTGATAATATTAAATGTATGCTTACTAATGCAAGGAGCCTATATAACAAAATGGGGGAACTACAGGCAATAACATACAGTAAACAATATGATATAATAGGCATAACAGAAACATGGTGGGATGAGACACATGACTGGGCAGTTAATTTAAATGGGTACACATTATTTAGGAAGGATAGGATAAACAAGAAGGGTGGTGGGGTATGTTTATATGTCAACCATGAGTTAAAGTCAAATCTTAGGCATGTGGAGTGTGACGAGAAAAACGTGGAGGCTTTATGGAGAGCAAAAAATGGGTCGCAAGAGTATTCTGAGAACGGACAGCAGCTGAAATAGCCTGCCCTTCAGTGAGTCCCCGCTCAGAACTCAAACTGGCTTTAGCTCATCTTGTGCCATTACAGAGAGAACATATCTGAAGCATATCAGACTGGTCCCACCCGTACGGGCAGTCCAGATCCGAAATGCCAGCAAGTTCTCTCTGCACGAGAGATACAGCAACCCCAGACGATCGTTTCAGCCTTGTTAGGCGTCATCAGTGAGGCATTGCTGATATCTCTCTAGGCACCGTGAGCAAGGGGTCCATGTCTGGATTACCCTTTAAACTTATGGAGAGCAAAAAACGGATCGCAAGAGTATTCTGAGAACGGACAGCAGCTGAAATAGCCTGCCCTTCGGTGAGTCCCGGCTCAGAACTCAAGCTGGTTTTAGCTCATCTTGTGCCATTACAGAGAGAATATATCTGAAGCATATCAGACTGGTCCCACCCATACG